GAAATCCTGAGAAAGCCATGAAAACGTGTAAAATACCACAAATCAGTCAGGTTGTATATAGACGTCAGGACGTATTTAGACAGATGCTCAAGAAAAGAAATTTATCAACCCTTCTCCACTCCTTAACAAAAGTTTCACAAAATTTACACTCTCTGTTACTCAGACGTCGAAATACTTTTTAGTAGTCCTATATTTGGAATAATATGACAAAAGAGATTGGAGCTACCTCTATCGCTTCCACGGGAATGCTATTTGATAATGCTTTAATGGATTCTAGGAAATGACAGAAAAAATTATCATTTATTGATGTCTGCTATGAGATCAACTTAGAATAGAAGTGAAACTATATATGTTTGTTCTTCTCGAATTAAAATGAAATTCATGTATTTGACAGACATTATGCATTGAGTAAAGTGAGGAGTAGAAAAGATCACGATTACTTTTAATGAATTACAAATCGATTACATTGTTAATACTGTTTTTTTTGGAATTCGAAACCTATTAAAGATTATACCGCATCACTCGATTTTTTTCTGTAAAAAATAGGTTAAAATCAATCTAAATCTCAATGGAGCTGAAAATCTATCTTCATACGATCTGAATATCTTATCAGTGCGCTCCATTTTAATTGGGCATGCTTTCAATGAGTATTTTGTTTTCCTTTCAAAATTTAAAAATATTAGAGGAAAATTACACTAAAATTGATGAGTATTCGAGCAATATTCAAATGAAATTGTTCGTAGCGTTTAACCAGTTCATTAAAAACAAAAGAACAATGCAAACTCTACCAATCGATAGCTTTGATGTACTTGAATCATGATGGAATCATTATTAATACAAAACTGATTACAAATGATTCAGATCAACACAGGTTAGTTACGAGCTCCAACATTAACACGCAAAATAATTCATTACACTTGATGCTTATTTTAAAGTTTCTGCATAGGTTGTGATCCAATTTAAGGGTGTTGATGCACGAAATTATTTCATTTTTAGATTTTTTTACTTCTTATTATAGATTCGTTCTGAACAATAATTAATCAGAAGTATTTTTCTAATATTTTTCTATGCATGTTTTGTGCTTCTACATATAGCTACATAAGAAGATGACCTACCTCAAACTATTATCAACTATTATCAATTTAGACCACAAATATCAAAGATATGAACAATTATTTCGATGTAAAAAAAATGATGTCATTCGCTCTAGGTTTTATAAATTGCTGATAGCTATTGTTTAAAAATACTCCAATGCTACACACATAAAGTGAGAAAATAGTTTAATTTTAACTCCTATGTTAGCCATCTTAGTGTCAGATAGAGTAAACACATACGATAATATGACCAATTAAATTGTGATCATCCTATTCGTATTCCATGGTTTTAATCCAATTTTAATGGGGTTTATGTCAAAAGTATTTGTTAATACATTAAGTATATCAAATTAAGGAAACTTAATTAGATTAACAATGTATAGTAAAGATTTTATGTGATAGAATCGGCAATAAGATCCAGTTAAATTCATTAATTTATTGATTTCAATCTAAATATGTTGCTTAGTCGACGTTCTGTGATGCTTTTTGAAACGTTAGCTTCAATCAAACTCTAAGCAGTGATTCTGCAGATTCCTACTTCCAATAAGAAATATTTACTTATAGTTGAAATTCACAACTTTTTTTCAACTAGAAGGAGGAAGTATCGAATAATTCCTAATCGCCGGATCCGGTTGGTTGGACGGTACAATCCGGATTCCATACCCGGATTGAAAACGGTCAGATCCTGGCTACGTATCTAGATCGGAAACTATTAATATTTCTTCGTTTCCGATCGTCAAAAGGAAACGATCGGAAAAGTAGTCCGGATTCCTGCTGTAAACGGAAGCCGTATCCGCTTATGGCTTCCAGAGCCAGAAATTAGCGAGAAATACTCTGGAAACGGAGACCGGTAAAGTTTTGGAATACTGCTTCCGGAATTCGATGGAAAATCACCGGATCAGACAGTTTTCCGCCGTACGTATTTGACCTGGGTAGTGTCAAACAAATTAGACTTTTACAATAATCAGACGGTAAATGAGAATTTGCTTTTTGAGATAACTTCTCTCTGTTTAATTCTACTTCCCGATGGCTCCTGCATTCGTACATAGCACATTGTCCATCGCCACATGACAACTTACGTTTATTTCGGCATGCTGTCTCTTCACAACCGAAAGTAGGATTATTCTTGCACCTAAGATTTCCATTGATGGGTCCTTCCCCATAGGCAAGCTTTTCATCGAAATAATCAATGCAATCTGGACTGAAAGAATCGTCGTTGAAAAATTTTTTTGGAATGCAAAGTCCAACATACGTCTGTGATTAGAAGACTAAAAAAATCATATACCAATAGAAATTGTTTTCAAGCAAAAAAGATTACGTGTATTTTTTAAAATGATATCTTTTTTATCAGAAGTGTACTGTAGGATATATGATATTCTTGTGCAACTTGATCATTGAGTGTCTTCGATTTAATGAAGTATAAGTTTAAGTAATTTTTCGAATAAACAATATACGTTTCTTCTTCGTTTCAGAGGTGCAACTTACAATTTTCTAACTTTCTATCTTTTGTCTAATTAAAATAAATAAACTATATCTTCTTTTTGTTTATAATGCTTGTTCATATATTAATCAATGACAATTTATTTTTATTTTTCATTTTAGATGTAAAATAATGTTCCCGAATACTCATTTAATTATTTATTTTTTCATTTCTATGATACGGCGACGATAGGTTCGTATTATTTTACTTTTTCTTATTCGTCTGTTATATGACAGCCTGTCAGAGCGGCTTCGTTGTCTGGCCCAGATTGATTCTTCGTGCCGCTCTGTTGCGGCGAAGTAGTGTAGTACTCGGGAAGGCCTACATGGTGTGCGTGTGGTCCCTGACGTCGTACGTACGGGATACCTACGTTCATTGCCCTACCAGTCCGGTGTGGTCCGCTCTACTCTGAAAAAAATAAAGGAGGTTTACAGAACCTTTTCGGAGGGTTCTGTAAACCTCCTTTATTTTTTTCAGAGTATGCGTATCCGTATCTGGACACACGGCAGGTCTTTTTGGTCGCACGGGCGCGAATAGTAAATAATCAATAGCTATCAAAACAATTTATTTGAGTAAATACTAGAAGAAGAAAAACAACCAATGAAATATTTTACTGTTTCTTTCGAATCTTTTCAAATGTTTCTCTATATTCTACGAGATGTGGATGAGTTGAAGATAACTTCTCTTGTCCAATTTCAACTGTTTGTTGAACATATTTCATTGCCATACTATATTTTTGAGTTGAGAAATATAATTTCGACATATTGTGATATATTACAGCTAAATCAGGATGATTTTTCGCCAGTTTTTCTTCACGTATTTTTAATCCTTTTTGATAATATGTTAATGCTGTTGTATAATCTTTCAATTCACGATAAGTTTCACCTACATTCATATATGTTGTTGCACATTCCAGAGGATTACATTTCACATTCTCTTGAATATTTAATGCCTTCTCATGAAATGCCAGTGCTTTTTCAGGTATGATGGGAAAAGGCAGAAAGGAAAAATATCGAAAGGGAAAAATGTCGAAAATATAAATATCGAAAACAAAAATTTTACAAATTTAGATGAATAGAAATGCTGAAAATGAGAGTACGTTGAAGTACAAGTCTTTCTTACCCACAGCTCCAATCTTGAATGTTCATTTTCACCTCATATTCATGTTTCCGACATTTTTATTTTCGATATTTTTCCCTTTCGACATTTTACCTTTCTGCCTTTTTCCATCCATTCCTTTTTCATAATCACCGGGTTGGCCGTCCAAAGGTCGAAAGGAAAAGCGTCGAAAAATCGATGGGGAAAAATGTCGAAAGGGAAAAGTGTCGAGAAGAAAAACATCGAAAGGGAAAAGTGTCGAAAAAAATATATTGTTGTGGAAAATGATCGAAAAGAGTATTTTAGAATTCTGACTTAAGAGAAGGATGTTTTATTGCGTACGTTAATACTAACATAGGTGTTGTTTCATTTACTGCTCGTTGTTTAACTTTCTCACGAAATTCACGAACTTCAATAGTTTCTTTTTCTGAAGGATGACTATGCTCATCATTTATTTTAACTAAATGCATGAGATGCCTAGTTCGACTTCGAATATAAATTGACATCTGAATAACTATTCACAGTTCAAAAATAAATGAACATATAAAAAATAAATCTAAATCTATTCCTAAATTATAAATGGGAGTGAAGGTCAATTTATAAATTTTATAATTTATAAAAAAGAAATCTTTTCCCGGCGATTGGGTGAAAACATGAAAGTATTTTTTTTTCATTTATATTCGAAGTCGAATTAGGCAGCTACTCACTAAATGACCATTCACATCTGTATGAATTTTAGCAGAGCAACTATTAACTACACATTTCCAATATTTTGTAGTAGTTGTTGCTTTATTTAATTTGAAAGTGTATTCATTTGCTATTAGCAATTGTTTTCCTTTCTGTGAATTAATAAATGAAATCGTTGGTGACTTCGACTGAGTTTCATCTTCTGAAGATGCGCCAGCTGCAGCCATAATGGTAGAATTTTAGTTATTTATTTACTCTTATGTAGGGTTTGTTTACTTAATTTATATGAAGTATATTAATCATCGCTGATACAAGAGGTGCAAAATCTAGACTAGTAGAATTATGGGAAAAGAAAACATGAATTATTCGCGTTTGGAATCATCATCTACTGTAGACATCGCTATTTCTTTTATTTCGAATTTTGACATTTTTTTGTGGTAAAATGTATTGTTCGACGTTTTTCTCTTTTTATATTTTTTTCGACATTTTTCCCCTTAAATTTTTGCTTTCGACATTTTTCCTTTCGATCTTTCTACGGCACACCAATAAAACAGATTTCAATTGATTCATTCACTGCATACTGTGCCGATATTGATGGCACGCTTCGATTATTCTCCTTCCTTCTCTTTCTGTTCTCTTTCCATTGTTCTAATATCTCTCTCTCCTATATATACGTGCGTCATGTATGAGTTTGTTACACTCTGGAGATGTCAGATGACACAATACACCATCATGCCGACGAGCATAAGCGACACTCTCTAGTTTTGTCGTTACACTCTGGATAACTTGAAGTAGCCTAATAAACATCTTTGCCGAGAGTGGCACAAGCTACTCTAATCTAAGATAAGATTGAGTATATAGCTGCCACAAAATACATGAGAATTTTAACAAAATTCAAACTTTATTTTAATTTTATTTAGAGTTTTCGGCAAGAACTCTCACCATCATCAGGAATATTGCAAAGAGAAGGAATAAGAAACATATTTATACAAGATATAGAGATACTAGATGAAAAAACAGTGATTAATTGTGAAAATGATGATTAATATATGTAGATGTATTTTTTTTCTTTTATGTTTGTTTATTGGATAGTTGTTGAGTGAAGGAGTATGGTATTTCTTATATTTAGAGGTTAAATATATAGGTGATATTAAATTCCTAAATATAAATAAGCAGACTTATAAATAATATATAGTTATATAAGGTTATAGTTTAATGTTATTTTTAAGCGAAAATTTTGAATTTATGTTTAACATCGTTTAAAGACTTACCATAATTGTAGTGTGTGAAAAGGCTTTCTTTTATGACTCTACGTTTCCAGTTTGTTTCTGAAGATAAGATTTTTGTGTTGTCAAAATCAAATGAATGATTCTTTTCGAATACATATTGTGCTGTATTCGAGTTTTCTTTTATTTTTCTTATATCTTCTTTATGTTCTTTTATTCTCGTGGTTAGACTTCTATTGGTTTCTCCAATGTAGCTGTAATTACAGTTTTTACATGGTATTTGATAAACTAATTTTTTAAGTTTATTTTTTTCGTCTACGCCTTTTTGCATAGATAAGAATATATTTTTGAGTGTGTTCGTGCTTTTTTAATGTTATATTGATTTCTAGATGAGGTAGAAATCTTTTACATAGTTTATGCATTCTTGATGCAAGTCAGAGGTGAGCACAGGACAGGACTGCCCTGCTGTCCTGGTGTCCTGTCCTGCCCTGTCCTGTCCTGCAGGACAAGAGTAGAGTTTTGTCCTGTCCTGCCGCTCAGCAGGACGGGCTTGAGCGCAGGATGAAACTAGAGTTTTTATTGCGTTTTAGATTCTGCCATGACACATTACAATTGTAGAATATGATAAGAAAACATTCCACTGTTGATATGTATTACCTCTGTTTAATCTTTTTTTTTAACAATTTTCACAGGCATGTACTGTTTCATGACACTTCGCATATGTTATAATCGATAGATATCACTAGTGCAGTGGGAGATTAAACAATTTTTAGTATTAGTTTAAAATTATCTAATCAAAAACAAAGAATTATCACATAAAAAAGAAGCATAATTTGGTGATTGTTATCGACAGTTGTGTGTGTCGACTTATCTTGTTTCGCTTTAATGTGATTTTTATTTTAGATTTATTGAACAGTTAAAAGTTAACATGGCTTCAGATGATAATTCTGCTTCACCTCAAACTCAATTTAACTCGGAAAGAATTAAATTATTATTAAAAAGTGAACCAAATAAATATAAAGTTGTCAAAAATGAATCATCATCATTAAAACAATGGTGGCAAGCATTTGGATATCCTACTTTAACGAATAAAATGGGTGAATCTACTCGAATCAAGGGATATGTGAGTTGCTTCAAATGTTTCAGTACATTTATTTATCATAATCGCAGCGGGACAATTCGACTTAAACAGCATGCAATTAAATGTTCTGATATTACAAGTTCGTTATCATCAATAACAATTATAAACGATGATTCATCATTCGCTCAATCAACTTTAGCACAGCACGGATTTAAAAAATCATTCATATTACCTGAAAAAGATATAGAGAATATCAAGAAGCTAAGTGCGCAGTGGGTTTGTCACGATCTTCGCCCCTTTTCTATATTAGAAGACAAGGGATTACATGCTTTGGCACAAGATCTAATTCGTATAGGTATATGTTATTTTGAATTTGAATTATCAAATAATGAGGGAATTTTTGAATTAGGACACAAATATGGCGTCGTTGATGTTAATGAAGTGCTTCGAAGTCGTCATACAATATCACGAACGGTCTATGATTTAGGAGACTCATATCGACAATACATTAAACAAATTTTAATTGAACCATTAAAAGCACGTGCTGTTACAATATGTCCGGATTTTTGGTCAGACTGTTATAAAAATATCTCTTATTTGGGTTTGAGTATAACATTTGTGGATGTTAATTATAAAATGTTTTCAATTGATCTATTTTGTCGACCGTTCGTTGGTGTTAAAAAACATGATTTATTACTTAAAGTAAGCGATTAATTTTATCAATAAAAAAACATGACAAAATTCTTAAGAAATGGATAATACTTATTTTTTTCTTTTCAAAATCTACCTGTCATTATATAATACAATATAAGATATTTTAATACAAACAGCTCAGTGACTAAGATGCGATCGGCACAGATCTTCATGAAAATGTACTTATGTATGCCTATCGCATTTTTTAATTTCTAAGCCTATTTTCGGGAATGTTTCGTTTCATTGTGTCCATTGCATATAATTATTTCTATTTTAGGCTCTCGAGAAACATTTACTCGAATTTGGTATTGATGATATAACACATGTGAATATTGTATCCGATCGAGGCTCTAATTTCGTGGCAGCTTTTCGTCATTTTCAGCCGTTATTCTGCTATGGTCATCGTCTTAATAATATATTACAAAAATCCTTTTTTGCAAATACCAAGTTAAAAAGAGATCAAGGAACTACATTGCCAATATCGAATATTCTTAATCCAATTAGTTCTGCGATGATAAAAAAAACAAAAGGATGCTGTATTAAATGTAGATGATGAATTCTCAAGTGAAGAATCATCGGAAGATGAAGAAGAAAATATGTTACCAGCAATTCCAGTAATTCGAAAAAAGGCAGCAAATAAAAACCAACAATTAGTATTTAAAATGTCTATAGATGATGTACCAATTGAAGCAAAGAATGTACTAGCTACATTAACTCAATGTAAAAGAACTGTGAAATACATTAAAAAAGTATGAATCATTGAAACAATGTCCCTGAATTTAAAAGAAGGTAATGTTTTCCTAAATTTTATTTTAGAGTGGATTGAATCAAGAAATTGAAAACGCTGGTGACGGAACTGTACATCAATCCGTCGTAACTCGTTGGTTATCTCTGATTGATACATTAGAATCTATTTTAAAATCGTTTAAAATAATCAAAAAGGTTTTGGCTAGTAAACAGCAACAGTATCTGATGAATAATATTACTGAAAAAGTCATCAAACAAATTATATTGTTATTAAGACCTTTCAAACATGTCATTAAATTGATTCGAACAGGTTACACGCCATCTTTATATATGGTGTTATTAACAGTCAAGACTTTACGAGATGCTACAAGTTCTTACGAGGCATTATTAAATTACAACGATAATAGTAGCGATGATCATCAATCAGGAGACGAACACAAAGAATCGGATGAAGATTTAATAGATGAACTAGAAGGTAAAAATTTATAGTAAGCCTTACAACAATCTGAAGATGAACATTTTTTATTTTTAGGTATAAGCTTTTTCTGGAAAAGAATTAGATGTTTATTAGATGAAATGTTCACACTTGATATTAGACATTACGCCGCGACGCTTCTCCATCCGAAATATCGGTCACTAAAATTTTGTTCAAAAGGTGAGCGTGATGAATGCCACCAATACATTTGACAACAATTACAACTATTCACTATTGATTCAAATTCAAATGAACGAACTGAACAAATTATTGATAAACCATTGCAGAAGAAATTTAAAAAGGATTTATTTAGTCGATTTGAATCAAGTACGTTTGATAATAATGAAGAACAATTAGAAGGTGATGCTGAAGATACTTCAAGCTGCAAAAAGATGGATGAACTCAAACGTTATCTTAATTAGAACTTGACAAGTCAAAGTTAGAATCAAATCCTTTGTCATTTTGGAAAGAATATAAGGATAAATTCCCTATCCTGTCCCGATATGCTCGAAGTATTCATTCAATACCAGCTACATCCACTAGTGTTGAACGTCAGTTTTCTGGAGCCGGTTGGGCTATTAATGAAATAAGAACAAGTCTAAACCCCGCACAATTGGACAATATTTTATTAATTCGATGAATGCAGAATAACAATATATTTTTATAAAAGCTTTTTCTATTGTTTTGTATATACGGGTATATATTTTTTTGTGAATATTTGACTCAGTATGTGTTCTGATTTGTATCATATTTATTATATCAAGTACTTTTCATGTTCTCTTTTTATAGTATCATTCTTTATATGTGAAGATAATACTGCTAGAATCTCAGATTATGTGTAAATTTTATTCCCAGTAATGAGAGTGTCATAAAAATAATAACTCAAGATTGTTTTCTATTTTTTGTATTTAAAGTGTTATTGTTTACTAAAAAATTCGGTTTTTGTATTTGAAATTAAATGAAATATACTGGTTAGAATGTAGAAAATTAATTAATCTAGGCTTGGATTACTGACCGTAAAAATGACAAATGTTGCTGTTATCACATCCATGATGAATACAAAACAGGACAGGCCAGGGTAGCAGGACAAATCAGGACGGGACGAATTTAGATTTTTTGTCCTGTCCTGCCACCCGCCAGGACGGACCAGAGTACCAGGACAGGGCAGGACAAGACAGAAAAACTGGTCCTGTGATCACCTCTGATGCAAGTATATTGGATTCATGTCCATAGTATGATAATGTGAAAAATATTTTCTTTTTTTATTGATGTATCATTGTTATTATTATTATTATTATTATTATTATTATTATTATTATTATTATTTTTGTGCTTATGTTTATTAATGATTTTTGTAGTAATGATCTTTCCTTCTCTGATATCTCTACATATAATACGTTTAGGATATCCGTTTTCACCTAGGGTTTCTAGGTCTATTAGTTCTTGATTAGAGTATCTATCAGAAGAACATAACAATAATATCCTAATAGTTAGAGTTCTTATAAGACCTAGTTTGTATTTTCTAGGTTGATTACTCTCGTAGAGTAGATATAAGTTAGTATTTGTTGTTGTTTTTTATAGATAGTTGTATCATATTTGTTAGTATTCATATTTCTAAGTATTAGCACATCTAGAAAATGTATTGTGTTATCTATTTATTTTTCTCTTGTAAAACTTATATTCTTATGCCACTTATTTATACTGTCAAGAACATTATCAATGTTTTGTTTATTATCGAAAATAAAAATTATGTCGTCGACATATCTCAACCACACCTGTAGTTTGGTTTTTGAGAATCTATTAAGTTTGCTTTCTTGTTTACTCATGAACATATCAGCGAGTATAGGTCCAAGTGGTGACCCCATCGCAACGCCATCGCACTGTATATAGTACTCATTCATGAAGCGGAATGGTACGTTACAGACGGCGAGTTCAAGCAATTTTTTAAATTGTTTTCTATTAAATGGTGTGTTTTTGATTTTTCCATAGACTCTACAACTATGTCTATAGCTTCTTTTACTGGTATGTTAGTGTACAATGCATCGACATCGAAGCTGCACATTACTTGTTGTTTAGCGTTTGTTATTTCTTTTATTTGTTTGACTAGATCAAATGAGTCTTTTATATATGAAAATGACTTATTTTCGCGATTGGCTTTTACTAAGCCTGCTAGATATTTAGAGAGTTCATAATTATAACTCCGTATTGATGATATAATAAGTCTAAGCGGATAACCGTTTTTATGGATTTTCGGTTGTCCATACATGCAAGCTATCGATGAACATGTAGACCTGATACTATAAAATAGTTCTTTAGTTATAGTATTTTCTTTATATAACTCTCGAAGATATTTATTCATTTCTTTTTCTTTCTCTTTTTGTAGAGATCTAGTTGGATGTTGAAACTGTTTTAATTGAAGAATATTATTAGTTTTTTCTATGTAGTCTTTTTTATCCATCACTACGATGGCGTAGCTTTATCGGCACGACTTACTATGATTTCTTTATTATTACGCAATGTTTTTATAGCCTGAAATCCTTCATCGCTAATATTACGAATATTATTATTATTTATATTTCTAATATATTTATTTGCATAATCATTGTAGATGATGACACATTGTTGAGAAAACAGAAGGATGACAATGAGATTCAAGCTTTGTTGTATTAATCTCCATATCTGTTTTAAAGTCATCTATTTTTTGTAGTTTTACTTTTTATACAAAAATTCCCGCTACGACATAAAATTATCTCTTCAGCTGGAGTGAGAACGTATGTTGATATATTATGAACAAGTTTATTATGTGTTGCTTTATAATTTTGTCCTATAGGACCTTTATTAAATTTTTCTAGTTTTCTCCTATGATTTTCTTTTCTTTTATTACGTTCACGTTTGACCAAGGGGGAAAAAACTCATTCGGGCATTCCCTGGCATTCCTTGCCATTCCCAGCCATTCCCAGCCATTCCTAGCCATTCCTAGCCATT